CTTTCTATACATGACTAAGTCATAAAGACCGGCCAGACAAAGCCAACTTAGATCTTCACGGTGGCAACAGTCAACCCAACTATCCTCGAGATGACTCTTTCACCTAGTAAGCATAACTCGTTGAAGAGTTGGAGAAGGTCTCTATCTCAAAAGATTATCCGGATCGCATGGTGAAGATTGGCACCACCTTGTCACCACCCATTCAGTTAGCATTGATTTCTTTGTTACAAGAGAACACTGAGGTCTTCGCCTGGTCATACAAGGGCATGCCAGACATCTTTTCCGATATCATCTGTCATCGCTTAGGTATTAACCCCAAGACCAAGCCAGTGAGACAGAATCGAAGATCTTATGATGCTGAATGGTACTAGGCAATGAAGGTAGAAGTTGAAATACTCAAAGACATAGGCTTCATTCGCAAAGTCAATTATCCAACGTGGAGCAAATGTTATCCTTGTTAAGAAGAATCCGACCAAGGAAAGTCTTTTGCTCCAAAAGGTCTTGTGGAGAATCTGTGTCGATGACACCGACCTAAACAAAAGATGCCCAAAGGATAGCTTTCCTCTTCCTCTCATAGACAGACTTATAGACTCTACAGTAGGGTGTGAACTCTTGAGCTTCATGGATGCTTACTCAGGATACAACCAAATCCTTATGAACCTTCCGGACCAAGAACACACAGCCTTCACTACTGACAGGGGACTATATTGCTACAAAGTCATGCCCTTCGGTCTAAAGAATGCAGAAGCGACTTATTAGAGACTGGTCAATTCAATCTTCACCGAACAGATTGGGAAGAGCATGGAAGTTTACGTTGATGATATGCTAGTCAAGAGCAAACATGCTGACCAACACATCACCAACCTATATGAAACTTTCACCATTCTGAAGAGGTATCGAATGAGGTTGAACCCCAACAAATGTGCCTTCGGCGTAGGCTCTGGCAAATTCTTAGGCTTCATGATAAGCCAACAAGGCATTGAGGTTAATCCCGAGAAGATCAAAGCAATCCTCAACATGAAGGAACCAGTAACTTCAAAAGACATCCAGAGCCTTACTGGCAAGATGGCAGCCTTAACTAGGTTCATCTCTAAGGCCACAGACAGATGTGCTCCTTTCTTCAAAGTACTTAAGGGAAGTAAGAAGTACATTACATGGACTGATGAATGTGCTGAGGCATTCAAGAACCTTAAAGACTACATAAGTAAAGCCCATCTGCTCTCTAAACCTGAGGTTGGTGATACTCTCATTATATATCTGTCGGTATCGGCTTTAGCAGTAAGTTCCGTTCTCATTCGAAATGATGGTAATGTCGAATGGCCTGTTTACTAAGCTAGCAAAGCCTTACAAGATGCGGAGACACGATACTCTAACATTTACAAATTGGCTCTAGCATTGGTCACCGTGCTTACCAATCATCCTCTTCGACAGATACTCCAAAGTCCTGACACTTCCAGGCGAGTGATCAAATAGGCGATAGCATTTGGTGAGTTTGACATCTCCTACCAACCAAAGCCAGCTAAGAAGGGCCAAGCAGTGGCAGACTTCATCTCCGACTTCACATATCTTGTTGACATTGTTTCTACGCCTAAAGAAGTGGTCTCGTTACCCTCGGAAGCTCAGAAAATAAAACCAACAGCCCCAACATGAAGTTTATATATTAATGGCTTGTCCAACCAACAGGGTTGTAGAGCAGGACTAGTCCTTACGACCCTTGACAAAGTGGCGATTGAGTATGCTTTTCGTTTCAAATTCAAGGCGTTGAACAATAAGGTCGAATATGAAGCCATCCTAGCAGGCTTACGTTTGGCCAAACACCTTGGGGTTAAATGAATTGATATCTTCAGTGACTCCTAATTGGTGGTTAACCAGGTCACCAACAACTTTGACGCTAAGGATAGCTCCATGGCAGCATATCTGGCACAAACACAATTGTTGCTCCAACACTTCCACTACTAGATCACCCAAATTCCTTTAGCGGTAAACAGTCATGCAGATGCTTTGGCTCTCCTCGCCTTAGCGGTGGAAGACAAGATTGGGAGAAAAATTCAGGTCGAATTGTTGGCAGCAACAAGCACAATGGCTGCGGAAGTGTGCAACTTACAACAGGGGGATAGTTGGATTACCCCGATTTATAGATTCCTTGCTCATGGCACCCTTCCAAATGACAAAGTCCAAGCTAAGCAGATTCGATGCAAGGCTACCTGTTACTTGATCATTAATGACCAACTCTACAAATGAGGTTTTAACCTTCCATACCTAAGATGCCTTACGCCCACAGAGGCGGAAATTGTCCTTCGGGAAATACATGAAGGAGTCTGCGGAGATCATCCCGGATCTCGATCCCTAGCACACAAGGATTTTCGCCAAGGATATTACTGGCCAACACTCCACTAAGATGCCATCAGAATATCCCACTCATGTGATAATTGTCAACGCTACGCAACTATTCCTCACTCCCCTCCCGAGCCGCTCACTCCTATGATTAGCCTTTGGCCCTTGGCCTAATGGGGAATTGATATGATCGGCCCAATGCCTGCAGGGAAAGGCAAGGTTCGCTATGCAATCATTGCAGTTGACTACTTCACAAAGTGGGCTGAAGTAGAACCATTGGCAACCATTACTGAGGCAAAAATAGAAGACTTCGTATGGAAAAACATCCTTTGTAGATTCGACATTCCCAATGCGATAGTCACTAACAATGGGCGACAGTTCGACAACAATAAGTTCAGGATGTTCTACTCTAAGTTCAACATCAAATTATATTTTGGCTCCCCAGCTCATCCCTATTTTAATGGACAAGTTGAAGCCATCAACAAAATAATCAAGCGAACTTTGAAAACCAGCTTGGACAAGGCCAAAGGTTGTTGGCCAGAATTTGTACCCCAAGTTCTTTGGTCATACCACACTTCATATCGGACATCAACAGGAGAAACCCCATTCTCACTTGCCTTTGGTACAGAGGCAGTTGTCCCAGTTGAGCTTGAGCAAGCAACGTTCCGAGTCCAAAACTACATGCAAAGCGAAAATGACAAACAACTTACCCTCAACTTAGATCTAGTCGAGGAACACAGAAACCAGGCTCACTTGAGGAATGTCGCCTACAAGTAGCGCATCTCTAATTACTATGACTAAAAGGTCAAACCTCGTTCTTTCAAAGTGGGGGACTGGGTATTGAAGAAAATTTACTCTGGGACAGAGTCCTGAGTGAAGGAACACTTAGTCCAAACTAGGATGGACTGTTTGAAGTTGTTGGCATCAGTCGTCCTAGCTCCTACAAGCTTAGAAGCTCTGATGGCAAGACCATTGGCCATCCATGGAACGTTGATCACTTGAAGTACTATTACAAATAAACTCACATTGTACAAGTGTTAAGCTTCAGCCGTTCGGCATCCTATGTAATGAAGACTATTTGTCATGAATTCAATAAAGAGGTAACTCGGTCCAAATCCTTTTACATTCCTAGCAATGAAACACTCGGGTTCAAAGCTTCAACATGAATGCTTCCAACATAAAACAAAGTCTAAGTATATGTGTTGACCCTAGAAATTACAAAGCCTACGTGGCGCGCAGGCCGAATATATTCTAAGCTAACTACGTCCTTCGGTGATTGCGGGGCGTGCCAACTCGTCGGCCGAGGCTCGGCCGAGGAGTAAATTTGATGATGCTGCGTTGGGTCGCGCTACTGACTTCTGCGTCTTGCGATTGCGGCCGAGAAAGGAACGCGTCTCGGCCTCTTGGGTTCTCGAGCCTGAAGACAAGGCTGCTATTTCTTACAAAGTTCACGAACCGAATTCGGCTTACAATGTGCCGAATGTAATAACTGTAACACCTCACCTCGCCGAGAAGGCTAATGAGATGACCTCGACCAACAAGGATTCGAAAACCCTTCTCGACCGAGACTTGGATAGGCAATCGACCGTTCTCGCCGCAGTGCTGTTGATGCCAACGGAAGATACTGCGAGACCGACCGACTCTACGGTGACAGAGCTATCTATGCCGACTTAAGATATCACCGGTTGCTTCCACAGTGCTGTTGATGCCAACGGAAGATGTGTCAGCGAAAAAGGAAAAGAAAAAGATCTCAAGTTGTGAGAGTTTGCGCAGGGCAATTTTGTATTGATTTTTGTGGGCTGCTCAATGTTGCACATCGCCTTGTATTTATAGGGCCTTGCGTACCCAAGTCGCGAAAACCAATTTCAATTGCACTGTGACTTTGAGTCCTTATTTGTTGCTAATCTTACGTCTTATCAAAACTTGCTATCATCTTGCAACCTGATGCCAAGGATATTCCACCATCAGAACCTTTATCCACGCATGCATAGTAACCTTCCGCCGAAGACCACTTATCAAATAATAATTAAATGATGAAATATAATCGCCATTTACCAAGACAAGGCCACGTGTAGAATCATCTTTCAAGCACATCACCATTTTGACTTCACCTTTATCCCATTGTTCCACGTGGTCCATTGTCCAAGACTTTCAGATCCATGTGACAACATCCATCAAGCAACCTAACCTACTTTGGTTTTCTATTCACCGTTATCAACAACTAAATGTTAGCTGTTGAAAGTCCATCACCACTTTCAACTAGGTGGGTAAGTTGCGATGGTCTCTTCAGACTCTAGACCATGAATAATCAGGTTGTGTGCAGGCCCTTGAAAATCGCATCTAAAGCCGTCACTTCAAAGACTCTCAAAAGAGACCATGTCCATTTCCAACTATACTTCCATTCTCATCCGTGCAAAACATGAGAATTTAATATATTATTAAGGGCTATTATCATGACCAAAAAATCACAATATTATTCCTTAAAAATTATCCCGACTAGGTCATCTTACAGTTAAAACTTCACTCACTTAACGGCCTCGATTGTTCGGGCCGATTATGTAATTTTGGGCCTAAACAATATGTCAACAAGACTATACAAATAAACGAACAGCTTCACAGTATATTCGTTCAATCATACATTCCAACACATTCATACATAAGCCAACTGTGTTTCGAAAGGGTTCAACTAGGATATAAAATATCATTTTATATATAAATATACACTGCATCGCTTAGCCCATACACCATTTAAATGTATAATATTGTTGTATATATAAATAGAAAAAAGCATAAAAAAACTTCCATCGTTAATATCCAAACATACCGAAACATAGGAAAGTTACTACACTGCACTAGAGGCTCCATCGTTTTTCAGATGTCGGAGAAGTTACTGTGGCGCAGATCACCACCAGTTTGAGTGACATTTACGCGCATCTAGACATGGCCAGCATGCCCAGGTAATGATCAGCTAGGGGTCCGAGAAGGCGGCGAAGAGTTCATAATCAGACTTACAGGCAGATGAAGGGCAGAATGAGCCAATGACAAGAAGCCGCAAGAGCTTTGACAAAAACACCAACATGGCTCTCTCTCTCTTCCATAAGGAGAAAGAAATTAAAGTGGGGTTGATCCAATTATCAAACGGCGCTCCTAATTCTTTGAAACTTGCTTCCGATTTCCTTGTTTGATTCTTGAACTTGTAGAGATGCTAGTCGATCCATGGTGATGACATGATGCGGTCCCACATTGCTGGAAGAAGTTTTACATGACGTCAATGCTGTTGGTTTTTTTCGTTCTGCACTCTTGAACTGCACATGTTGAAGGGAGGCCAGTTTCTGAATAGACTTCTCAATTGGTTCAGCGTAAGCAACAATTTCGCTTAGCAGCGAAGCAACAGTCACAGCTGGCACGATGTCTAGGAGACGAACTTGATCTCCACCAACTCCCGCCACCGCCGCTGCATTAGTCCTAAGCATGGATTTGAGGTTATTGGCCGCAGCTCTTGATTTTGTGATGTGGGAGCTGGCAGCAGAGCATGGCTCAGTCATTGTTTTTAGGGCCCATGCTAGCTCTTTCAGTGCTTTGCCTGATTCTGAACTCATCTTCATGCACAGCTCTTGAACTTGGTTGTTTTGAATGTTTAATAGTGTCTGTAAAAGAATTTAAACAATTAATTTTATGAAACAAGTTGATTACTTTGCATTTATATATATTTATCGTGCACATTAATATGAAAATTTGATGTGGTACAATATATACCTGGACTTCAGAGTTGAGGTAACCACTGAGGGTATCAATGCGGTAGGCGCATTGCCGGGTGAGGTTTCCGATCTTGAGATAGTATCTCCAAGGATGACGGTACCTAAACCTTCCATGTCTAGGCTCCCACCTTGCAAAATTGGCCTGCAAAACAAGAAGGTATAGTCAGCATTATTAAACCGAAAATGTTAGGTAGACCATGTTCTTGGACATTATTTATAGACCGCATGATGTGATGATTGATAGTTGGATGCTTTCTTTAATGATTTAAAGAATTAATCCAACTATCAATTGCCACATCATGTGTGGCCTACAAAATATAGTTACCTAATTGAATTAGAACCATTGATTGCATAGAGCCACTTCTGAATGTGCAATCTAGATTCACAATCTCACAAGATAACGTATCTAATATGTAACAAAGATCATTTATCAAAGAGACTGACCTGAGTTTCTTCACTCTGTTTTGAATTGAGAACACTAAAATATCCTTGCAAATGTGCCATATTAGACTCTCCACTGCCAACTACTTTGAAGTATTCATCCCCAAAACCTACAATTTTTTCATTTTTTTTCCGACCTTGTGAGTTTTCCCGGTCACATTGATATGCCACCTAAATTCCAGCAATGAAATACTGATTTTTAAATAACAAACCTTCCAAGAAGCTCCCGAGCTTTTCAATGTTCTTGGCTACTGAGTTGTGCAGATCTTCGCCAGCCCATACCGGGCAAATGAAAACGCACACAAACACAGCTATAAAGGCACCTATGAGGATTGTGGACGCCCTCTTGTGAGCCATTTCCAGTATCTCCTCATCTCGGTACCCCGATACCGATATCAAACAGAATGTCAAGATAAAAATGAGGAGTCCATAGTCATATCTCGCCTTCATCCGCGGAAAGAAGCGTATAAATGTCACTGATGCAGCTGCATATATACATACAATGTAACATTCCGTAAATTCCTTGCTCATTATTGTACATTATAACTGATTGAAGAATCCCCTATTAGTACATGGAAAATGAATAATTAAGTATGTTTATGAGATCAAGTGTATTAATTTTACCTAGTAGAAAGACGAAGATGCCGATGAGTATTGGATGAGCTATATCTCCTGAAAGATTTGCCAGGTGATGAACACCAAATCCTAGAGCGCCTGCTAGGAATGTCGCCAGGATCCTGTTTAAACCTCTTCCCAGTGTTGCTCCTGCATTATAGATTAAGGATGATGCGATTAGAAAGTTACCTAATGATTAGATGTATCAGAATATAGCTCGAATAAGAAAAAGTTGCACTAAAGATTAGCATTTTCTTAATTGGAATTATGAATTAAACTCACAAACAACAAAAGAAATTCCCAGACAACTTAAAACAAAATGAGAAGTGATTTCCGCATTCTCCTTAGGATTGAACAAATCAAATGAGAATCACCCATCACGAACAAGTGAAGGGGTGTACAATGAGAAACCAGGAGTGTGAAAATTGTCAAAATACAAAGAAGTTCTTGATTGTCATATGTATTCTTGAGAGAGAAAGAGAGATTTGAGAGAATATCAATCTTAGAGAGAGAAATGAATTGTATCTTGTTATGTATTGAATGAATGATTTGTGTTACAATATCTACATATATATATAGACAAGGCTATCTTAGTCACTAAGTAAGTTAACAAACTTTAACTACCTAGCAACCTAATCTACGTACACTTGTCTAAATCTGAACCACCTAATACATCTTTACATCCCCCCGCAATCTCATGCTTGATCGAACTAAGCATGAGATTGGAACAATGAGACTGAAACAAAGGAGCAGCAAGGCCCTTAGTAAGAATATCTGCAAACTGTTCTTTTGAAGACACATGGCAAACATTCAAATCACCTCGAATCACCCTTTCCCGGACAAAATGGTAATCTATCTCAATGTGCTTCACCCGAGAATGAAAAACTGGATTAGAAGATAAAGCAATTGCCGAAATATTGTCACAGTATATCACTGGTGCAGTGAAAACAGAAACATGGAGATCACATAACAACTGACGAATCCAGGCCAATTCTGCAGCTGCAATAGCTAGTGCTCTATATTCGGCCTCAGTCGAAGATCTGGAGACAGTGTGTTGTTTCTTAGAAGCCCAAGATATGGGACTGGAACCAAAGTATACGACATGCCCTGAAGTGGATCTGCGATCATTGGGATCACCAGCCCAATCTGCATCACTGTATGCTTGCAGATGTAATTGTCCAGGTTTGAAATGTAGACCATAGTCCAGTGTGCCACGAAGGTAACGAAGAATACGCTTAACTGCAATAACATGAGAAGTCATGGGAGAATGCATAAACTGACAGCATTGATTGATAGAAAAGGCAATGTCTGGCCTTGTAAAAGTCACATACTGCAAGGCCCCAACAATACTCCTATATTGCTCTGGACTGTGATAAGGATCACCATCATCTTTAAGAAGTCTGTGGTATGGTAAGCAAGGAGTAGGACAGGACTTAGAATCTTGCAAATCAACTTTGCTTAATAGATCTTTGATGTATTTGGATTAAGAGACAAACAGGCCACCAGATTGATATGAAACCTGCAACCCCAGAAAGTAATTCAACTGACCCAAATCCTTCATATCAAACTCCTTTGTTAATTCCACAATAACATCATCAATCAGTGTAGATGAACTGCCTGTAAGAATAATATCATCTACATAGAGTAACAACACAACCGTACCAGCACCATTATGTTTAACAAATAAAGAAGGATCTGCAAAGGAGGACTGAAAACCCAAACCAGGTAAATAACTTGTAAATCGTTCATTCCAAGCCCGGGGAGCTTGCTTCAGGCCATACAAGGACTTATTGAGCTTGCACACATACTGAGAAGGAGAAGCAACACTCTGAAATCCAGGAGGTTGAGTCATATACACTTCCTCATGTAACTCACCATGCAGAAATGCATTCTTGACATCTAATTGACGCAAGGACCAATTGAATTGAGCTGCCAAAGCCAGGATCAACCGCACAGTTGTTGGTTTAACAACAGGGCTGAAAGTCTCAGTATAATCAATACCTTCCTCCTGATTATAGCCTTTGGCAACCAACCTGGCTTTATACCGAGCTATAGAACCATCAGAATGTGTTTTGATCCGATACACCCACTTGCAACCAACCAAATTCTTCCCAGAGGGAAGAGGAACTAAACTCCAAGTGTTTTGAGCATGAAGAGCATCTATCTCTTCTTGCATAGCTGCTTGCCACTCAGGACATTTACTCGCAGATTTGTAGGAAGTAGGTTCACTACCTTGTGTAGAGGACTGAACAGTTGCGGTGAACACTTTTCTCTTTGAGATTCCACTTTTGGACCGAGTTTGCATGGGGTGCAAACTCACTGAGGGAAGGGGAAGAACAACAGGGAATTGTTCGATTTGAAAATCCGGATCAATAGGTATTTGAGACTGTGTAGACCTCGGAGAAGCTGGCTCAATGGTAGGAGAGGGAAGGGTTTGCAAGGATTCTGAGGTTGGAGGGGAAGGAGCAAGGGAAGAAGATGGTTGAGGAGGTATGACTAGGTTTTGAGAGGTGACTAAGGGTGGTAAGGACCGAGGGATAGGAACAGGCACCTGTGACTGTGAGAAAATGTTAGGAGACTGAGGAGATGAGGACTGAGAAATGGAAAATGGAAAATCAAATTCATCAAACAACACATGCCTAGAAACCAGGATTTTATTGGTAAGAAGATTAAGACACAAATAACCTTTGTATTGGCCTGCATAACCAAGAAATACACATTGAGATGTTTTGGGTTGCAACTTAGTGGTATTATATGGTTTTAAAAGAGGATAGCATGCACAGCCAAAGATTTTAAGATGGGAAATTTGAGGAGGTTGACCAAAAAGACATTTATAGGGTGAAAACATGTGCAAGGTTTGACATGGCATGCGATTAATAAGGTACACAGAAGCAGCACATGCATGAAACCAATACTTAGAGGGCATGGAAGCATTTTGGAGAAGAGTGATGGCAGTTTCTAAAATATGGCGATGCTTTCTCTCGGCAAGACCATTCTGCTCAGGGGTGTAAGGGCATGATTTGTTATGAACTATACCCTTGGTAAGTAAGAAATGTTGAAATTGATGACTAGAGTACTCACCCCCTCCATCACTTTGAAAAACTTTGAGAGGGGCAGAAAATTGAGTTTTCAAAAACTGATAAAACTGAGCAAAGATATGGAACACTTCACTTTTATTAATCATTGGAAAGATCCAGGTAAACCTGGTACATTCATCCACAAATGTAACATAGTATTTGTAACCTTCAACCGAAACAGTGGAAGAAGGTCCCCAAACATCACTATGTATCACCTCTAAGGGAGTTACAGTTTTATGTGCAGGAAAAACAAAAGGAAGTTTAGAAAATTTGCCCTCTAAACATGATTTACAAACAGAAGACACATGAGAAACAGGCACAGAGATATTGGATTGTTTTAACATTGTAGAAGTCACAATGTTGGAAGGATGGCCGAGCCTGTGGTGCCACAACGTTATTTTGACTTGTTGACCAAGAAAACCGGAATGTGTGGTATTGTATGCAGAAGGTTGATGAACTTTATTGATGAGATGTTGAGGAAGAGAGAAGGGAATGGGATATAAGCCAGCTCTACACAGCCCCTGGAGAAGAATTCTCCCTGTGACCTTGTCCTGGATCCAGTAATAAAACTCATCACATATAAATCGACATTTGTTATCCTTACAAAGTCTATAAATGGATAATAAATGTTGAGATATATGAGGAACATGCAGAATTTTGTGTAATTCAAATGCATATTGAGGTGTTCGGAGTGTACTAGAGCCAATATGAGATATGTTCAAACCTGAACCACTGGCTGTGGTTACGGTATCTGTACCAGAGAAGGGAGTAGCAAAATTCAGATTTGCCAAATCAGAAGTCATGTGAGATGTTGCTCCTGTATCAGCCACCCAAAAATGGTCTGAAGGTGCTGATGGTTGGTAAGTGGTATGCATAGCAGATAGAGTAGAAGAAGGAGCCCGTCCTTGATGTGAGAAATCATTGCGATGATAGCACTGTAAGGCAGTATGGCCAAATTTCCAACAAATTTGACACTGAGGCCTAGAAGGTGGATTAGGAGAAGAATAATGTCGCTGGAAGCAATCAACAGCAACATGACCTCGTTTGTTACAGATTTGGCAGGTTGGAATATCATAACCATGGTCAGGACATGTAGAGACATGTGGCTTCCCTGGACCAAGTATTCCAGCACTGGAATTGGAAAACCCCGATTGAAACCGAGGAGTGGAATTATAGTAGTTTCTACCTCTTCCTCTGCCTCTGTAGTTAAAACTGTACCCTCCATTGTGATTAGAAGAACCACCAATATAAGAACCAGCATTGATTGAACTAGTAGGACTATATGGCTTTGATTGAGTTTGAGGAGACCCTTCGCCCAACATCAGAGCCTTTCCTTTGCCTTTGGTATCATTTGCCATCATTGCAGACACAAAAGAATCACTCACAGAAGTATTTTCAACCACAGCTTCCTCGGCTAATAGCTGAGACCTGAAATCTTTGAGTGAAATAACATTGTCTCTCCCCCTTATAACTGTTCGAAAAGTATTATACTCAGCAGGCAAGCCCTTAAGTGCCAAGATGACAATGTCATCATCTTCAAAGAGTACTCCGGCAGCAGAGAGATGATCACGGACATCCTTGATCCTTTGAAGATATTGAGAGACAGAATTAGAGCCTTTCTTGATATTCTGCAATTCAGTTTTCAACTGAAAAATACTTGCTTTCGTGACGGTGGAGAACTGATCCTTCAAAGTAGTCCACATGTCATGAGAAGTAAGACATCCAATGATACAAGACATGGCTATAGAAGATAGGGTAGCAATGATCAATTGCATGAGAGCACGATCATGCATTTTCCAAATCTGAAATTCCTCAGTTTCCACACCTTCAACATCCAAATCATCTATAAACCGAGGAGGACAAGGACGAGATCCAGCAACAAAGTCAAAAATACTATGACTTTCAAGAAGCAATCGAATCTGATAATTCCATACCAGATAATTTGTATCATCAAGCTTCACAGTTACAGAATTAGAGACATTCGAAATGAGAGTCGTGATTGGAGACTGTACAATCTGTAATTGTGCAGCAGTCACCATATTTGCAAGAATTTGAGAATTCAGGAGAAAACGATCACAAATCTATGGAGTCAGAGAGACGAATCGGACAAACAACTCACAAGGAATGCAATTGTGGAGATATCTTGGAAGACGATATCAATGCAAACAAATCGTGGAAGAAGCAATTAATCAAACACTTGGCGTGCACAATGAGACAGAAACGGCAAGAAAGCAACTGCGCAGATACACAACCTCACAAAGCTATAAAGAGAGGAAAATCAAGAGCAGAAATGCACACCAGAGCAAAGCGATCAGGAATGCGGAAGCAAAAAGAAACACAGATCAGGATCGAGAAGTCGTCATCACCAGTGAGGATACCATGTCAAAATACAAAGAAGTTCTTGATTGTCATATGTATTCTTGAGAGAGAAAGAGAGATTTGAGAGAATATCAATCTTAGAGAGAGAAATGAATTGTATCTTGTTATGTATTGAATGAATGATTTGTGTTACAATATCTACATATATATATAGACAAGGCTATCTTAGTCACTAAGTAAGTTAACAAACTTTAACTACCTAGCAACCTAATCTACGTACACTTGTCTAAATCTGAACCACCTAATACATCTTTACAAAAATTACTACCGGAACGGAATTTTTCACAATGTGATTTCGGTAAGTACATAGGAAATTTAACAGAAACATGAAACGTACCTACTGAAAATTCGAAGACAACCACCACAGTTAGAATAGCCCACATGGCAGTGTCACCAAGACCATTATAGAAAGGCTGGAAGTAATAGAGCAATGACACCAAAAGAACTGCTAATCCAACTTTAAGGGAATGAACAATCCTTCTGGGATCATCTTGTCCAAGCTTCTTTAATTTCCTTGGAAATTCCACCACCTTGTTCATCACCTTGCCACAATAACCTATCGAACTATTTTCTGCATCGTTGTGGTTGTCCTGATCACGAACTGCTGGAGATGCCATTTTTATTTTTTGTGTGTGCCTATGAGGATGAAGCACACACTTTTCTGAGAGAGATCGACTGATGTTCTTGATCTTTGGAAAGAAGTAGATAGTTGTTCATATATAGTGAAATAAGATACGTAGAAAGTGATGACGAAGCTACCTTGAAACAGAGATCTAGTGCGTCTTAGTAAAACTACGGTTTATAAATAATTACAACTACATTTTTTCTTTTTACACAATACAAATATTTTAAACCACTTTAACAAAGATATCTAGAGTAGCTAATTGGGTTAATTCACATCTATGGTTATAAATATCATTCTAAATAAGTATTTTTACTATCTTACAATAATTTAAGTAAGAAATTGCTAGCAAAAACGTGAGAGTAATTAATATGCTTAAAGAGAATGTTAGCTACCCTTTCATTTTACTTTCTTTTTATATATCCTTCCTATTTAGCAATACTTTATTATTCTTCAAATTTCTTTCTTTAAAATAAGGGATATTTTGGATGCGGTCCCTAATCCTTAACATTCTTTGATTAAAACCTAATATTATTCAAAGTTTGATCAAGGTCCCTTGACTTTGTACACCTCATTATATTACTATTAATATTTATAGTTTTATAGTTTTGACATTAATTATTTGATATTTTATGAGATTTATAATCCTATAAATTTAAAATCCCTCATTATAATACTATTAGAAACGGTTACAATAAAAAAATTCAAACATTTTGATTGAATAAATGGATAAAAAATATGTAAAAATAAGAAATAATAAATGGCAAAAGAATGTATCCATAGTGTTAAAAAAATTGGTACATTTTACAAAAAATTGGTACATTTCACATATAACAAAGTGGTACATTAATAAAGAAGAATGGGTACATTAGAAATAAATTAGGGTACAAATAAAAGATTAAAATTTATGAATACAAATGAATTTTTAAAAATATAGTCGCTAAAAGAAATTAGTACATGGGTACAAAATAAAATAAAAAGAAAATACTACAAATTTAAAAAAAAATGTTACAAATTAAAAGTGGGTACAAACTAAAAATATAAATATATGATACAAAGTTTAGGCATAAAACATAAATATACCATATGTAATTTGTCTATTATTGATTAAATATACAATGTCACGTGACAGTATATACATGGGTACAAGCACAAATAAAACTTTAAAAAATATGGGCACAAAAAGGAACTAATATATGGGTACAAATTAAAAATGAAAAGAAAATTGGTACAAATTAAAAAATATTTGCAAATTAAAAATAGGTACAAACTAAAAATAAAATTATATGATGAAAAAATTTAGCCATAAATATAAATATACTAATTGTAACATTTTTAACATTAAAGGAATATATTTAAAAATAAAAATATTTTATTATTCAAATAATTAATGATGTTATTAATACCCAAGGACCTTGATCAAAAATTGAAAATGAATAGGATTTTAATCAATGGAGTAACAAAAAGAAGGATGTTAACCTAATATATTTTGGATGCGGTCCCTAATCCTTAACATTCTTTGATTAAAACCTTAATATTATTCAAAGTTTGATCAAGGTCCCTTGACTTTGTACACCTCATTATATTACTATTAATATTTATATTTTTATAGTTTTGACATTAATTATTTGATATTTTATGAGATTTATAATCCTATAAATTTAAAATCCCTCATTATAATACTATTAGAAACGGTTACAATAAAAAAAATCAAACATTTTGATTGAATAAATGGATAAAAAATATGTAAAAATAAGAAATAATAAATGGCAAAAGAATGTATCCATAGTGTTAAAAAAATTGGTACATTTTACAAAAAAATTGGTACATTTCACATATAACAAAGTGGTACATTAATAAAGAAGAATGGGTACATTAGAAATAAATTAGGGTACAAATAAAAGATTAAAATTTATGAATACAAATGAATTTTTAAAAATATAGTCGCTAAAAGAAATTAGTACATGGGTACAAAATAAAATAAAAAGAAAATACTACAAATTTAAAAAAAAAATGTTACAAATTAAAAGTGGGTACAAACTAAAAATATAAATATATAATACAAAGTTTAGGCATAAAACATAAAATATACCATATGTAATTTTTTCTATTATTGATTAAATATACAATGTCACTTGACAGTATATACATGGGTACAAACACAAATAAAACTTTAAAAAATATGGGCACAAAAAGGAACTAATATATGGGTACAAATTAAAAAATGAAAAGAAAATTGGTAACAAATTAAAAATATTTGCAAATTAAAAATAGGTACAAACTAAAAATAAAATTATATGATGAAAAAATTTAGCCATAAATATAAATATACTAATTGTAACATTTTTAACATTAAAGGAATATATTTAAAAATAAAAATATTTTATTATTCAAATAATTAATGATGTTATTAATACCCAAGGACCTTGATCAAAAATTGAAAATGAATAGGATTTTAATCAATGGAGTAACAAAAAGAAGGATGTTAACCTAATTTTCCCTTAAAAAAATTACCCAAATTGAAAATTGTTAGCATGCTATTTTCATCGGCATTAAAATAATTTAGCGCGTAATTATTAAGTGTTGCTATTCAAATCACCTTTATTGGCCGCATCTCTAGTGATATCAATCGGTGAAGTTCACATCTATTAATTAAAGAGATGATGAGTAAAGTGGTCAATAGAAGTGCTCCAAAATGATGTTTAATTTTTTTTTTTTTTTTTTTTTTTATAACAATACATTTACAAACTCCGCCTATGTCTTACATGGCCGGTCCCAAGCCCGGATAAAGGAGGAGGGGGAGGGCGTCAGGTAGTCGACAGCCGGCACTCCATGATCACGTCGAATCCTTATGAAAATGAATCCAGAACAAAATCGCGCTAAAGCTAGGGCGTCACCCGTAAGTGGCGCGCTGTGTGGCCTGAGCACAGTGATAAGTGAGCAAGGGTCGCTGCATCTCCATCGGCACCCGGATGCAGTGTTAAATGAGCAAGGGGGCCATAGAAACTTCTTTTCGAACGACTCCACTCAAAGTTGTTTGGGAGCATATGCTCCTATCAATTTTACCCGGGACACACAAAAGAAGTACTTTGATCCTATTAGACGGGGGAGGGTGAAGAAGCTAGGACAGAAGGGTAGATGTTCAAGAGAGCAAAATGCGTTTAGGAACGTGGAATATAGGAACCTTAACGGGAAAATCTATGGAAATAGTGGAAGTTATGGTGAGGAGAAGGATAAATATTATGTGCCTACAAGAAACTAAGTGGGTTGGTAGTAAGGCAAAGGATCTAGAAAACTCAGGGTTTAAACTTTGGTATTCGGGCACAAATAGAACGAGAAACGGTGTTGGCATCATCGTGGACAAGACCTTGGTACAAGATGTTGTAGATGTCAAGAGGGTAGGAGATAGAATCATGGCAATCAAGATTGTAATAGGACAAGAACTTATCAATGTGATTAGTGCGTACGCACCTCAAGTAGGGTTGGATACGAGTTCGAAGGAGAAATTTTGGGAAGATCTTGGAGACTTGGTGCAAGGAATTGCTCAGACGGAGAAGTTATTTATAGGAGGAGATTTAAATGGACACGTGGGCAGGGAGACAGGCAACTATGGAGGTTTTCATGGTGGCCATGGTTTTGGGGAGAGAAACGAGGATGGGGAAGCTATCTTGGATTTTGCAATGGCATATGATCTCTTCTTAGCCAACACCTTCTTTAAGAAGAGAGAAGAACATGTGATCACCTACAAGAGTGGGTCGTCAAAAAACACAAATAGATTTTCTTCTAATGAGGAAAGGGGATCGTATAACTTGTAAGGATTGCAAAGTTATACCAGGAGAGAGCGTGGCTAATCAACATCGCTTGTTGGTGATGGATGTACATATCAAAAGAGTAAGACAAAAGAACAAGACTTGGAAGTGCCCAAGGACTAGATGGTGGAATCTAAAAGAAGAAAAACAAGTCATTTTCAAAGAGAAGGTAATCACCCAATGTGTGTGGGATAGAGAGGGGGAAGCTAGCCAAATGTGGGATTCCATGGCTAGTTGTATCCGAAAAGTAGCAAAAAGAGGTATTAGGAGAGTCCAAGGGCTTTGCCCCACACCAAAAGGAATCTTGGTGGTGGAATGAGGAGGTACAAACAAAGGTGAAGGCTAAGAAGGAATGTTGTAAAGCCTTATACAAGGAGAGGACCGATGAAAATGGTGAAAAGTATAGAAAAGCGAAGCAAGAGGCGAAAAAAGCTGTCAGAGAAGCTAAGTTAGCGGCCTACGACGATATGTATAAACGACTAGATACCAAAGAAGGAGAGTTGGATATCTATAAACTATCTAGAGCAAGGGAAAAGAAGACAAGGGATCTAAACCAAGTGAGGTGCATCAAGGATGAGGATGGAAAGGTTCTTGCTACAGAGAACGCGGTTAAAGACAGATGGAGAGGTTATTTTCATAATCTTTTCAATGAAGGACATGAAATGAGCGATTCTTTAGGGGAGTTGAGTAACTCAGAAGAGTGTAGAAACTACTCTTTTTATCGTCGAATCCGGAAGGAAGAAGTGGTTGTAGCTTTGAAGAAGATGAAGCATAAAAAAGCAATAGGCCCAGACAATATACCAATCGAAGTGTGGAAAACTTTTGGGAGAGACAGGTATAACATGGCTCACTGACCTTTTCAATAGGATTTTGAAAACGAAGAAGATGCCAAATGAGTGGCGAACGAGCACTTTGGTGCCTATCTACAAGAACAAGGGCGACGTACAAAATTGCATGAACTATAGGGGTATTAAGCTAATGAGTCATACAATGAAGCTCTGGGAGAGAGTCATTGAGCATAGATTGAGGCAAGAGACACGGGTTTCGGACAACCAATTCGGGTTCATGCCAGGGCGCTCAACCATGGAGGCAATCTATCTCTTACGAAGATTGATGGAAAGATATAGAGATGGGAAAAAGGATTTACACATGGTCTTTTTATAGATTTGGAAAAAGCGTATGATAGGGTCCCAAGAGACATTCTTTGGAGGATTTTAGAGAAGAAAGGAGTACGAGTAGCATATTATCCAAGCTATAAAGGATATGTGTATGAAGGAGCAAAGACTGCCGT